AACCCTAAGGTTCCTTTGAGGGTTTTTTCGGGGTTTAGGGTTTAGGGTTGTTTTTTGGGGGGTTAGGCTTGCTTTGAGTGTACCCATAAGGGCTCCTTGAAGGGATCTTTAAGGGTTCTAAAGGGATATATGTATGCATACACACACGCACACGCACACGAACACAGATAATCACAAACACACGCGCAACCACACACACACAGACTTATATATATATATATATACATACATACATACATACATACATACATACATACATACATACATACATACATACATACATACACACACATACATATACATATATATATATATATATATATGTATGTATATATATTTATACACTCGTACACATGCACATGCACATGCACATTCGCATACACATACGCATCCGCAAAGACAGACACGTGCACATACACACGTGCATACGTACAGACAAAAGATATACGGCTGTGCGCGTTGCATTCTGGGCCTCCCCTCACCCGCCCCTTATGGCATTCCCCCCTTATCAGTATCCGCAAGGGGCAAATGAAAGCATCACCACCTCTAGTTAAGGATGACAATACTACTAATAAATAGCCGCAACCATACCTCAGAAGAAAACTCTGCCCGGCCTGCCCTACTTTGCTAGCGGCTCAGCAATCACAGCTAGGTGGTTTGCCGACCCCCCCCCCTTCGCCCCCCTCACCCGCCCCTCTGGTCATCTCCCCTCCGGCGTTGTGGAATGGTTTGGGCCTTCGGAGGTTACTTCCGATCCCCCTTTGTGGAGTGGTCGAGTGGTTCAGCGCCGGCTTGATGCTTGAAGTGCGGTTCTCTGCTGTGCCGACGCACTGGCTGTCACGTGGACCATTGCATTGACACCTGTCGCCTTCTTCGTCCCCTCCCTGAGGTTTGCATGGCAGGTTCTCTTCCGGTTGCAGTGAGGATCACACCTTCCAACAACGGCGACTGTCACGAGGATGGCGCTTGATTGTTGTCGCTGACAGCGCTGGGAGTGGGGGAGGGGTAGGGGCCGCGGACCCGAGATTCTGCATACATATATGGATGCAGAAGCATAACTCATATCTGTATACGCATATGCCATATACATACACATACATGTATATTCAAAACCCATAGGATTTGGGGTCGAGGGTCAACGGTTCAGGGCTATATGCATGTGTATATACGTATATGTACACAGTTACTTGGTTGTATTATGTTTACTTGTCTGTTCTGGTTTATTTGTTATGCCGCAGATGTATCTACTTGTAGGTAAATTTTTATACACAACTCCCAGGAAAGGACGGGTATGGACCTGCCAGCGAACTGGCACGAAGTTCCAGAGGTCAGCCGGCTGCACTTAAGCATTCCGAAAGCTTCGTAACATCGCTCTTTGGGTTCCCTAGTATCCCAGACCTTCCACTATCCCCTAACTATTTTGGGAATAGACCTTCAATCATATTAGGGACCCTATAATAGTTTGTGAGGTATAGTCCAAAATTAATTACGGGATATTGGAAGGTCTGGGACCCCTGAACCCTAAACCCTAAACCCTTGAACCAGTGGAAGACCGGGAGCCAGGACGTACTGTAGTCTCTGTGCTTGTTTCGCACGGTGAAGTCTGTCCCTGCCCCAAAAGACGCGGCTGGATATCGTCCGGACATCACAGAGGAACCATAGAGGACATCGATGAAGACCTCATAAATAATGGAAGGGCCTGAATCTTTAGTAGCGGTATCCCCCTCCTGAGGTTCCCTAGCCCAAAGGCTCCACGGTGCTGTTATAGCCAGCACTTTCGTTTTGCGTGAGTTATTTAGCAGGTCTGTGCCGGGCCGACTCATTATGATCCAAATAGTCGCCTTGGGCCAAAGTAGTACCTTTGCAACTTTGAGGATCTCGACTGGCCAGAAAATTCCAATAAACATATATATATTGATATGATGAATAGATGGATCCGGGTGCGTAGATATAAAAACTGTAGATATTGCGGTAGAAGTACGATGAACGGATAGATATCCTAGACTAATATAGATGGATACATATATATGGATAGATAGATACATTATTAGGAAACACACAGTCTCCTAACAACAATACAACCACTGTACGTATACATGAACAAGCAGACATAATAAACTGAACCCAGACATATGTAGAAGTGACAAAACGTCCGGACAGTGATGGGCTGTTCAGACATGACGCCACACAGACTCACACACACAATGTACACCCCACACACCTCGATGCACAACCACACCCACACAGCCACACACCACACACGTAGACACCCGAACACCCCGAGCTCGCACAAAAACAGACACACACACACATGTGTACACACACACACAGAAACACGTAGAAACACATACCAAAACAATAAACTCTAATATTATATATAGTTAAGACCCTACACCACACAACACAGACACACGGCACATAATCCAGCATGTATGCGGATCCGTCATGGCCAGCACTGCATCAATCGAAGGCTTCGAGATACGGGTCGATGGGATTTTGCCCCAGCTGCGCGCTGAAGTGCAAGCGTGTCGATTACACGCATTCACTCAAGCCCTCGCTCGAATTTACGTTTTAACCCATATAATAGGTCTCGTACATATCACGCGCATGCATATGCCTGTGCACGTGGGAAGCGTGCATGCACGTAGCTAGCTAGTGCTAGCGCTAGCACCGTAACAGTTTTTTGGGTTTAGGGCCCGGGTTTAGGGTTTAGGTAGCTATAGCCGAAGCCACGAAACCCTTAAAGCCCTGCACTAGCTCAATCGGCCGCATGGGTCATGATCGATGTCTGCAGCCTCAGATGCTCGGCCACAAATTAGGGTTTAGGGCTTTAGGGTTTAGGGTTTAGGGTTTAGGGTTTTGGGGTTTAGGGGTTTAGGGGTTTAGGGGTTTAGGGGTTTAGGGGTTTAGGGGTTAGGGTGTAATTAATTTGTACTATATATTTATGTATGACCTGCATATAACATATATAAAATAAAACTTGGGGCTATACTACTGTTTGATGCAAGGATCCAGAGGTAATACCTTCTCAAGGTGCTCCTCTCGAGAGACTTTGTGTGAACTTGAGCTGCGATTCCTGATCAGAAAACACTGTAACATGTATCGGGATGTGCCATGGGCCATGATATCGATACCGAGTTGCGAACCAGCTTGCCATTGAAGTCTTCTGCACCAAAAGTGTGGTAGTACCGAAAGTTGTAGCACTCTTCAGTGCTGAAGTGGACGAGCTCCGCAACGCCCTGGCATTATGATTATCGCTCTCTCTCTCTCTCTCTCTCTCTGTCTCTCTCATTGACTCCCCCTCTAGACCGATCGCAATCCAGCTGCATGAAGTTTGGGGCGGATCTGGAAGTAGGGCTTCTGCTGATCGGCATAGATCTCTGCCAGGCATCCATAGGCATAGAGGTACATGTCCTCGGATGCGGACCCAATTTTGTACTATCCCCTATAAATGTTAGGACTTTAATCCATAAAGTATAGCAATATATAGAGGTAAAGGATCCGTGCAGTTCCGCATGCGGGCGATCTCGGCATCACTAAGGTAGCGCTGAGCCTGCTCCACACAGTTCATGAAGTCTCCAAGGTAGAACCTTGCTTCATTATGAAAGGTTTGGGTTTAGGTGTTTAGGTGTTTAGGTGTTATGGGTTCCAGGGCACATATGTCAGGATGAGTACAGCTCATATCATGTTTTATGGGGCTTATGGTAAGTTAATCGATCAATTATATGCGGGAACAAAAGACAAGTCACATCAGTTGCCCCAGAAGCCTCATGACCTCATTCTGCGCATGCACCTCCTCGTAGAGGAGCTTTGCTGTGACATGGGCAAGCCATGCCGTGATCACACGGGCCTTACATATTCATTGCACAAACCCCTTCCACATTTATGCACAAGTGTAGTTCATCTTAAGTACTAATTTTACATCTAGGGCTTATGGTTCAGGGCTTTGGGTTATTACGGCAGAACCATCATGATCAAACCGAGTGGCATTGTATGCTTTGGTCCCGAGTTCCAGCCCTCCATCCCGGCCACGGAAGAGCTTGGGGCTGAATTTCGGTTGGCTGTGACTCAGATCAACAAGTCGGAGTTTCAGGGCCAGGGTTGTAAGGTTGTACATGCTGTAGTCGACTTTACTGTAACTTGCATAATTGCAAAGGCATCAATTTCAGCCTGGGCACATGATCTTGCGTTCACGGCAGTACTGGCAAAAGTCAATGTATGCATTGGCCATCTGCTCTGACAAGCCCTCGCCGGCCCAGATGCCCTGTCCCATTCAGGGTTTAGTGTTTAGGGCTCAGGGTTTAGGGATCAAGGTTTGGGCTCTAAGTTTTAGGGTTTAGGGTTCATTTATAACATGACTAGGCTGAATAGGGCAGGGTTCTGCAACAGCAATATTTGTGCAATAACTAGCCTTCTCCAAGAGAATTTCCAGGCAAGCAGCACCTGCCCAAATCAATATACCCAGGTTTAGGGTATGTAAGCTGCACCATCGCAGCATGTTGTGATGCCAGCCACAGAGGCTGGGGATCCAACCTGCAAGAGATTGGTCATGGCTTGGAGACTGGGCTAGACAAGTGAGCCTGTTACACATTTGTTTCGGGTTTGGGGGCTATTGGTCGGGGATGGGTTTGTTCAAGTTGATACCAGCCAAGCTTCTTGTCTGCCCCTGATCATCCACAATCATAGTGCAAACCCGGTTGAAGTTCTCGGAGTCTCGCCGGGCAATTGCATCTGCAGCTGCCATCGTGGGGTCATCGAAGAACGTTCGAAGCTGGGCTTCGCAGTGGTGGCAGATGCTTAGGCAGTTCCACCCAACTTTCTTGAATCCCAGCCATTCCTGGTGGACATCATCTCGAGATCACTGGTCTCAGTTTAATTTGGGAAATCATAGCGACAATTCGGGGGTTGACTTTTGGGGTCATCTATATAAGAAGTGGTAGCCCTGGCGCACACAAAGCCTCTCGGTAAGAGTCGACATGAGTTTGGGTTATATATAGTGATTATATTAATAAGCTAATTATGGAAATACGTGGAACCATCTGATAGCGGCGCAAAGTCTCCCGGTAAAACTTCCAATCGGCACGCAGCTCTGTCACAGCAGCATACACCTGGGTCTCGACCCCGTCGGTGCCCATCACTGTCACGCCGTTGAAGAGGAGGTTCAAGGACTCGACCACCTTATCACACAGAAGCCAGTCCAGTTACAATATAATTATTAACTAGTTTATAATAGTACTAATATAACACTACCTAAACAACAAAACTATTGGTGAGAAGGTGTATTTTGTTCCGATTTATCCAGGCTGCTGGCTTCATAAAGGCCTGGATCGTGGAGAAGCCGGTGCTCAACGACTGTCAGATGGAAACGAGACTTGCTGCACAAGGCTACACATGTACATCGGGTCTAGGGTGAAGGTTTTTTAGGGCTTAAGGGGATTCGGGTTGGTGTATTGTTTTGTTTGGGGTTTGGCACTTTTGGGCTGACAGGTGCAAGCTTGAATTTCGAATTCTAGAGCAGGCCTGCCGTATCAAGAACAGAGGCCAGTGGGTTTCCATGGAACTTTTGCGGCAGTCGAGGACTAGTCCCATGCACACCTGCGTTAGCTTCTCTTCTTTCGTCCACTTGACATCGTCAGCATATAGAAACAACGGCAGGTGAGCACAGCTTTGGCCAGCTTGGTTAAGCGGATGTCCAGGCCCCCAAGAAGCGTGGCGGAACATGTGGGCCCAATAGCCACCAATTTCTTCTTTGTTGGGCACCACGTGCCCGTGCTTCACGAGGTGAGGCAGTAGCTGATGAGGTAGCACAACAGGCAACAGCCTCGAACTTCACAGTACTATAACTAGCTAGTACCCGCTCACATTTATTTTGTACCCCAGCAGGTACCCCAGCATATAAGCGATAAAGTTTCAGGTTCAGGGCTTCACAGATATAAGGTTCAAAACTTATATATTAGGGTTTAGGGTTTTAACGGTTGGGGAATTCAGCAAAATCCAGAAAGCTTCTCCACAATAGTGGGATCGGTTGCACTCTTCACCATGGGAACCGTCACCGTTTCCAAGGGCACCTGATCATGAGGGCTCCATATTATTATATTCGAGAGCACCCAGGGCTGTTATATGATTTATCAGGAACCCTGAGCTAGGCAGCTGAGTTGATAGCCATCTCATAGGCTCCAAGGGATCGCAAGGTGTCTCTCTCCACGTTCTGGGTCCATATGCCACCGCCGCCACCACGTCTGATCTTGTCAGCACACGGGGGTAGCTTGGCCCCATGCATCTTTAGTTCCTGACAGGGGTGGGCAGGGTATTAAGGTTTAAGGTCTAGGGCTTATGGTTCTAAGTCTACATCATTCATCGACGAAGACCCCCGAACCTTGTGGGACTCCTGCAACAACAGCCTGGCCCCGCTGAAACTCAGGTCCTTATATGAGTGGTGTGCAGACAGCTGCAGTGCAGAGGCAGGGCACTGGGAGTGCTCAGCACGGGACCCCTTTACCGGTGCAGCGAAGCACATGCCGCGCCAGCGGCCCCAGCTCATCCGAGCTTCCTGCGTGGGTAGCGGTTTAGGGTTTAGGGTTATTAGGGTTTAGGGTTTAGGTTTTTAGGGTTTAGGGTTGGTACCGGTTCCAACGGAAGCTAGCAGCACCTTTTGCAGCCATGTGCATAGCTAGGATCAGCCCAGCTCGCCCCGGCACATTCGGGGTTCAGAAATCTATCACAAAACTCGTGTGCACTAGCCAACTGGCCTGGAAAAGAGCACAACGACCCAGCTGCTAGTACTGCATCTAATAATCTAGCAGATGCAACTGAAGATCGCGCATCCCGATATTGCCAGTCACCCATGGTACATCGATCTAGATATCGGTTGATATGCTACTTTATTATTCCAACTTAGTAATGTGTTACAAGCTTATTAAGCATCCTGGCAACACGTGATGTTCAAACAGCTCGCCAGCTCTCGGCACACCTCGCTCGTCAGGCTCGCGGCCTCACTTTTTCTTGGCGGCACCTTTTCCCTTTGCCTTGGCCTTCGCCTTGCCTTTCGGGCATGCCTGGGCTGCTGGCTGGATGGATGGAACGAGTCGGAGCTGGTTACATATATTAGTTTGGGGATATGATAGATTAGAGGTTGCTAGGTCCTAAGCCGTTATGTGGGGTTTGGGCGAATTAGGGCTCGGGTTTAGGGTTTAGGGTTTAGGGTTGAATTAGGGCTCGGGTTTCGGGTTCTAGTCAGGTTTAGACTTTCATGTTGGACTACGTACACAATCCTCAAAGGCCTAGGGTATTTGGGGGGGGGGGGGACATGACACAGTAACCCCCAAATTTCATACAACAACTCCCACAATACTAAGGTTCCTTATACTATTTATTACCAAAGCCCCTTGATTATGACTGGGATTCGTGCATTTAAGGTATCATGGTGGTTCACTGTTGATGCGGACTGGCTGCGAGCTTGTGCATAGCAGCTGCGGATTGCACGAAGTTGGTGATGCTTTGGTTCAACTCATCGAGACAATTCTGTAGATTGTCCGTGCTGCTTTTGCTTAGCAACACCTCCACCTTTCCCTTGGCAGTCCTGAGGCAGCCTTCATGGATGTCCAGCTCCGCGTGGAAGCCGGTTTTCACAGGCTCCGACCTTTGCAGATTGCAGACGTACATATATTTGAGTTTAGGTGGTTCAGGGGTTAGGGGTTTAGGGTTTAGGGGGGTCACAGGTTTATGATTTATATGGGACATGTGCTAATATAACAATGCAGGCTTCAAGTATTAGCTCATGGGGTTTAAGTTGTAGATAAAAGGGACAGGGGTACGGTTTGGGAGTTAGGCTTCGAACTTGTTGCATCAGGGATACAGCTTCTCATTCCCTGTGATCTCATCCTTGAGCGGCTGGATTTCCTCAATCTTGCTGTCAGCAAGGCTGCTCTTGTTCTTGGCCTGGTTGATGAGGGCATTCCTCTTCTTTTTGTCCATAGGCTGCAACTCTGCAGCCACATCGATGTTCGCACCTGTAGATGCATCAGTGATCGCCATCGGCAAAGCAAGCGACCCCACATGTGAGGAAGCACTGGATCCCACAGTGGTTGTGAGGCCCTCCAGCACTCTTGGCCTTGTAGCAAATTAAGGAGTATCTTGGTTAGGGGTTTAGAGGCCTGGGGTTATGTTTCAAATATATCGTCAACACAAAACCTATCCTCCACCACAAACCAGCAAAGTAACATCAGAGCTTTGGTGGTGGTCCCATCCAAATTCACACTGTCGGTCTGCAAGGTGGACGTCGTGCTGCTTTTGTCTGTCGTCCTGATCGAAGCTTTGTCGAATACTCTGATCAGGGTCCACTCCTGCCCAGGAAAGGATTATGTTATATTGATACCCCCCCAAAAGTTTAAAGTATACTTCAGGATCACTCTAGAATTATCATTCTATGGGGAATTCCAGCCTCACAGCCTGGTAGATCCGGATGCTTGAGTATGTAGGGGTGCTCGGGGGAGCCCTCTGGCAACTGCTCTTGGAGCTTCTTCTTCGACTCAAAGATCTCGTTTGCCACTGTGTCTCCCTCTTGCTTGCGCAAGTCACACAGACGGACGTAGATGTCCTGCCCCTGCAAACTTTTCGACACCGTTGTCTCGACCCTTGTGCACAGGCTGGAGCACAACCAATTACCACCACAGTTGAGGTACTCTGCAAACATGTCATCCAAAGCTTTGGAGCCTAGGCATGCTTCATACGTATGGCACAATAACTGGAGAGCAAAACAAACATGTGTTATGTGCAGGTGCAGCACCTCGAACTGCGCTTTTGGCTGCGTTCAGGACCTCCGGCGGGCAGTTGGAACCTCGGCGGATGGGCTTAAGTCTACTTATATACTATTTTCGGATTTGAAAAACCCAAACACCTCAACCCCACCAGACAAACCCCTCCACCCCCAACCCCTAAACCCATCAACCCCGAAGCCGAAACCCCTAAACCCTTCAGCCAAACCCCCTAAAGCCTCACTAAGAAGCCTCTTAAACCGAGAGCTTTAAACCACGAAACCTGGTGTAGAAAGCTTGCATCTGGCTGTGGGCCCGAGGAGGGATACAGGGTTTCGGATCTAAGCCTATAGCGCTAGCCTTATGTACGGGTTCCGTGGTAGCATAGGGGTTTAGTGTTTGGTTATTTTTGGGCCGAAGATCTATATCCTGCCGGTTTAGCACAGTCCTAGAATTTGGTAGGGTTTGGGCTGAGGAATAACTAGGATTCGAGGACAGAGAGAGGGCCGAATAACTCCGGATCCAAAGAGCTAGCATGTTTGGGCCGGATAATGAATTTCTGAGCTTGGGCTTGGCGTTTACAGGTCTGTTTGATCACGGGCTCGGATGCAGATGTAGTGGGCCAGGATAGGGTTCATATACAGTGTTAGGTATTGCGAAATAGTACCAGCTAAGCAGGTATCCTTGACCTATGGTTTAGTCTTCGGGGCTTGGGCTCAAGAGTTATATATATATTGCAGCTAGAACAAAATATGAATCACCAGGGGCTTATAGTAAGGTTCTTAGAGGGTTAGGGGCCAGGGTTCAGGATATGGGTCCACGAAGTGCTGCTTTGAGCAAGCGCCCCCCCGGGTTTCTAAGGCTTTGGGTTTGAACAATTAGATGTTGGTGGCCGAAGAAGCGGTATCCTGAAATAGCCAGCCTCATTATTCCTGGGTCTGACCTAGTTTGCCAATTTAGTTCAGGGCACTTCGGATGGATCGGGAGTACTTCATGAACACATTGTGAGCGATGCGATTCATGCGGTCATCTTCAGTCTCTCCCTCCTTGGGCAGCAGAGCAGCTTCCTGCGAGAGGCAGGCTTCAGGCTTGCAAGCTATATCTACTTAGGTGCACTTTACATGTAGTCTTTTGTATGCAACCCAGTACTCAGCCGAAGTGAGGTTAGGCTTAGATTCAACACTTCTTTAATCTATGGGGTCCTTGAGCTCGAATGAATTGGGCCGTTTCAATGCCTCCATCACAGCCTGTGTCCTTTGCTGGGTCCTTGTGAGGGGCTCGCGAGACTGTGCTGGCTCCACAACGCCCCCCGACTGCATAGCTGGGTTCACACGTGCAGCCCCTGTGGACTGTGCTAGGTTCGAATCGCCTTCGGATCCTTGCTGCTGTGCTGGGTTCGAATCACTTCCGGATCCTTGCTGCTGTGCTGGGTTCGACACACCTTCTGATCCTTGCTGCTGTGCTGCTGGGTTCGAAACAGATCCCTGCTGCTGTGCTGGGTTCGAATCGCCTCCGGATCCTTGCTGCTGTGCTGGGTTCGAATCGCCTCCGGATCCTTGCTGCTGTGCTGGGTTCGGATCGCCTTCGGATCCTTGCTGCTGTGCTGCTGGCTTCGAAACAGATCCTTGCTGCTGTGCTGGGTTCGAATCACCTCCGGATCCTTGCTGTGCTGGGTTCGAATCACCTTCGGATCCTTGCTGCTGTGCTGCTGGGTTCGAAACAGATCCTTGCTGCTGTGCTGGGTTCGA